CGCTAAGCCAGGCGCCATCAGTCACCAGGCGGTCGAGCTCTTGCCACTCCGCAGCGGGTACCTCGGGCAGCGGCGCATCGACCAAGGCTTCCAACTCAGTCCCGAGCTCTTCGCGCAGCTCTCGCTTTGCGCAGTCGAGCTTGCTCTCGCCGTCATCCCGATGACCCCCTAAGAAATTGTAGGCATCCAAGTGACAGTTCCACTGCAAAACAGTGCCCAGCCCGTCTGGTCCAAGGCGGCTCAGCACAACGAAAACCAACTCCTGTGAGGCCTTCGCGTCAACGCCAGCCATTTTTGTCCCAACTAACCACGCTGCCTCCTGCTGCCCCAATTGTTGACGAATACGATTCGATTGTTTGTGAGTTGCATTCTATGCACCACCCACAAAGGAGTAAAGCCATCATGCCAAACAGAAGCCAAGTCACAAGTCGTCAACGCACTTCCGATTTCCGCACCATCCAGCGCCGCTGGATCCTAGCGGGTGGCAAGATCGCCGTAATCCACAAAACAGGGGAGATCCGTCTGACTCATCCAGCATTGGCAAGGCCAATCCGGGCCAATCTTCGCCGCAAAGACTCGCCTGCTCATGTCCGGTGCCAACTGAACCAGATCCTCGCCGGGACACTGCAAGCGCGTTAGCAGGAACCCGACAATAAAGTTTCCCAATTGCACGAGCCTACCAACACGACCTGAGAAGCAGGGGGTCGGTTAGGCCCGTTGCGGGCGGCGGATCACCGCCCACCTAAGCAGTATTAGTTCGATCAACCCGAACTTGATCTCAAACCTGATCGATTCGCCGCTACCGGCAGAGAGCCCTCTGCTCGATCTCGTCACAGAAAGTTCGCTCCGAAGTAATGCAGCCTGTTAGTTGAGTCCAGGTTGGTAAATGGGGGTGCTTGCCCAGCGGATCCAGCCAGCATGACAATTCTCGGTTTCAGGTGCAAACAACAAAAACGAATGTCGCCGATTTTAGTGAAGCGAACCTGACAACCCTCAAACAGAACTCGGTCCCCACGAAAGCGCAATCAGCCATTCAGGCCCTGCAGAAAAACGATCCAACGACAATCGCAAAATCTGCGGTGCCCAACGGTTACTTGCCTTCGTCCTATTGGCATTCGGCAAGTCGATCGCTTGCTAACTCACCACCAGCCAACCCCTCACGCCACCGAGAATTCGTCAGCAATATCCGGCTCGCCCAGATTCCATAAATCGCCCTGGTGCCGTTGCTGACTGTAGATCTCTCAATAGCCATGGACAACTCTCGGCGACGCCAATGACATCGAATTCGAGTCTTGGGTCTGACAATCAACAACAGCAAAATTGCGTCGCCTGAATTAGTCTTAGCGACATCGAATTCGAGTCTTGGGTCTGACTTGTTGCGCTCTGGGTCGGCTTCAAAGCTGAGTCTTAGCGACATCGAATTCGAGTCTTGGGTCTGACTTTATCCACTGCAGCAACGCACCAATCTGTTTAGTCTTAGCGACATCGAATTCGAGTCTTGGGTCTGACATCTTGTTCCTTGAAAGGAAGTTCGCATGAAGTCTTAGCGACATCGAATTCGAGTCTTGGGTCTGACTTTCTTTACAGCGACCCCGTCGCCTGTCGATCGTCTTAGCGACATCGAATTCGAGTCTTGGGTCTGACAGCAGGGTCCCTGAAAGCCCCAATTGCTGGGCTTCTTGGAGTGTCGTTTCCGAACAACTCCAGAAATTCTCTCAAAAATCACGATAAAAATGACGTTTGGTCGGAAACAACAAATTGCTGCCGTCCTTATGAGCAAGTAACCAACAGCGCAAGACTTGGGTACGACGACCCAAGTCAATCAGGCAGAGACACGACTCCAAGTTAAAGTTTAAAGAGCGTAGCGAGAGTCTTCTCGACCCTAACGATAATACACATCAAAGACGCCCTGATCTCAAGACGTTCTCCGTCCTCAGGTCACGACCCTATTCTTCTAACACGATCGACTCAAAACAATAACGCAATAGCGCCTGTCGTAAAGGCTCCGAATCGGTTTCGGATCGGTAAAACGCAGACAATACTGGCTGCTTTTTCAAGCCGTCCTCATCAGTCGCGGCACCTGCCAACCGTTCACCGGGTAATCTGTGCAGCCAGAAGCCAACTTCTTCATGAGCGCCTTCGGCACACAATACATCCGTAAATAGCTTGTCAAGCGGAGCCGTCTCCATGCTAACGACCTTACAACCCAACAACTTGTCGCCGTGGCGCGTCCTCCAAGGCAGCACATCGTCGACGCAGATGTGTTGCACGTGTAATCCAGTAGGTAACTCATTGGCCACCGATGTTGTGTTCGCGCTTTTTGTGATCACATCAACGCATTTCATCAGCTTGGCAAATGCGCCATCGCTCGATTTGAGTGCGGGTAGCCGTTCACGCAACTCTAACCACTGAGCCCGACACGCAGAAAACACCTGTGCGCGATCTGGCTTAAGATCACACTCGTGCGCTAGCACTTCAAAGTAAAGCTGCTGGTGCAGTTCCGGTAACTCGCAAGATAATATTGATTCGTCCTCGAACATCCGCTGCAATTGGCACAACGCCAACAATCGACCGATTCCCCGGCCCTGAGGCTGATCATTGTTGGTAAACACGAAGCGAACGTTAATTGATTTCGGGTCGGTCCCACACCGATACCAACCGTGGTCATCTGGGGTGCCCAGGTGAGCCCTAAGCCAATCTGAAACTTTCGTCGGCACTGAGCCCGGATCAACCCACAACGTCGAATCGGGTCGGCTAGCCCACTCAATGATTGTCTTCGCCTCAGCGGTCGCGGCTTCCGGACCGAGCCGTGGAAGAAATTTCGTGTCGCAACCAAGTTTCACATCAATGATCGCGTGGGTACAACCCATGACAAGCTTCTTTCCTATGATCGAAGCCAAGGCCAACTCCGCCGACTTCATGAGATTCAACGATTTGCGCTGGCGCATCAGAAGCGTATCGACTGGCGTCAGCTCTGCGTCCTGTTTGCTGAAAAACCCACCTTCTACCATGAGTCGCTTGGCCATCACGCTGGACCGTGTGGGACACACATAACCACCGGACTCTAGGATATCTATCGTGCCCCCTGAGTTTCCGCGCGAAGAGATTTTGGGCACAAACACCTGTTGCTCAGTACCCCGTCTTGCCATCAAACAAAGGTAGCCAATGATGGGTGAAATGTTGGCCGTTCCGCCGGTAGACCCAAGATCCCAGTACTCTGGTTTAGTACCTCCGCCTGC